CCCTCTGTTATTATATATGTTGTTTGAGATTAAAAAAGGCCATCCAGTCTCCATTTTTTTGGAAGGACTAACAAATTTTCTCTCTATTTTTCCTTCTCAACGTAGTTGTCCTGAAATGTTTATCTTCCCTTCGGTCTGTTCTTCTTCTTGATCCTCAGGTTTCTTTTGGTATATATAGAAAGTCTTTTTCATTTTTAGTGTTGTCAGTCCCTTTTCAGGGTTTTCCATTAACTGTGTTTGTTGATCAGTTGAATCTTCTATCATAGTATTTAATTGTTCTTCTATTATATTCTGTGTAGTTGGCTCTTTAGTTGTAATCAAAGTTTGGGTTCGTATATCTAGGCTGACATCTTGTTCTTTTCTGCAGCTTCTTATTTCATCAGTGGCTGTAAGAATAGTTTCATAAATTGCTTTCAACATAAAAAGAATCTGTTCCTGATCTTCTTCCATGTTCTCTTAGTGGTGTGTTAAATTAAAAGCTTTACAATCAGAGAATGAAAATAATTTTGTCCCTGAGTATAAAACACAGCTGGGCTTCTCACAGCTGATATCTGCCAAGGTTGCAAAAGTCTTATCTATAGTCTGGGCTTCAAGCCAAGTCTCTTTTAGACCATAACTAGTTGTAATATCAGGTTTAGCCACAAGATAATAATAATAATAATAATAATAATAATAATAATAATAATAATAATAATAATAATAATAATGATGATGATGATGATGATGATGATGATAATGATGATGTTGGAAGGGGCCTTGGAGGTCATCTAGTCCAACCCCCTGCTCAGGCAGGAAACCCTATACCATTTCGGACAATTTACCTGTATATGATTTGCACCCTGACTTTTGATCACAGAGTTCAAGGTAGATGTCACCCACAGCATTTAAGATTTTTGTGTTTTTTTTAAGTCCAAAATTTTTATAATCTTTTCTCAATTTTACTTCTTTTTTGTAAGTAAAAACCCCAAATCTTCAATAAGAATAAGAAATCTTTTAGTCCTCAAATTTAAAAAAGATAAAAATCCAGTTAGAATCAAGTTATTTTTTTCAGCGTTTTAAACCCCCCTGGATAGTCAATTACCACTGTTTTTGGAGGGTAGGATAGAATTTAACTTCCCTCTCTCCACAGGGGGAAAATACTTTGGGCTTATACAAGTGGAAAAAATAATTAGGATTGAAGAGAGGTTCAGATCTCACCCAGTCTCATCTGCGCTGCTTTGTAGGTGCCTGGTGGTAAATTTGACTTTGGCTGTCTGCAGCCTAGTGACAGGCCATATTTCTATGGCCGGTCTTTCCTCCGCTGGTTTGGAGAGCTGCCCCGGATCGAGCAGAAGGGCTACCGCCCTCCCGCGATGAAGCGGGGATCCCCTCCTTGCTTGTCGCCCCTACAGGGCGACTTTCGACTCTTTCCAGGGTCCCCCAGCGATGCGAAATTGGACGTGGAAGACGGAGCTCACCTTCCAAACCTCCGTGGTGGCTGTGTCGGCAAACTGGAAGTTCTCAATCAACTTCTTCTAACCCTCAACACATAGAACATCTGCAATCATTCAACTATTTAGTTTGTTTCAAACCAATAACGTGACACAGTAGGAAAAAGCAAAAGTTCCCTAAATTTCTGCAGATCTGGCTTTGTCCCTGGCATTAGAATTTTAGAGCTCATTGTGATCTTTTGATTTTTATTTGTATGAGTTTGTTTTCTTTTATATTATATATTGTTTTAAAATAGTCAGCTACCCAAGTTTTTTTAGAGTTGGGCTCCCTTGAAATCAAGTATAAATAAGATATTCATGAGTGTATTTCTCCATAAGGGTACCTCACCTTGATTTCATTTTACCCTTTTCTAAAACCATTGAGTGTTGAGGAAGAAGCTCTTTTATTGGACATTTAACATTTTACAGGAATAACCCTCAATAAATTGCTAGTTGTGAGGATATTCCTAATTCTATACCAAATATATATGAATATGCAATAAACCTTAAGAAAAAAGAGCACAATATAGAGATGAAAACAGATATTTATTTATTACTTCTAGGCAAACTGAGGGCACAACCTACCTGTAGTGTTGAACTGTAATTTTGTGCCCCCTTGAAGATTCTATAATTGTGAAAACTGATTGCAATTTTCCACTTACATTTTCCTGGTGACTCAGGAAATTGCAATTTCAGAACCTTATACAACTATCCCAAGATCACTTAAAAACAACACATCTTCTCACGACTCGGGACAAACCTTTTAGTGCAATTCCTAAAATATAATTATTTTTACTTTTGAAAAACTACTATTTACAGAAAATAGGTAGTTTTCCTTATATGAAATTTCTGCCTTCTATTTAATTTCCTGGGCAACTTGTTTTTGTGACTAGCCAGACTCACATGGCAACAATTTCTTCAAATTCTGAAATATGTAGGACTGATGATTTCTGCTTTATATCAATAAGATAAAATAATTGATATTTTATTGTACCTGAAGAACTGTCTATTTTTTATATCAAAATAGAACAATAGTTTATAAGTATTTAGTAAATAAAAGACATTTTACATAAGAGTTAGAGACACCTTAACAGAATATATAACACAGACTTCAAGAAGGTAACTTGTTGCAAATTTATTTCTCTTAATTTGTTAATAAAGAAATAAGGCCCATTCAGAAAAAAATGAGTTACACAGTAAAATGTCTGAATACTGTACTAGGTTTTCACAATATGAATACCATCACCTATGCTACAGGAAAATAATGAAAAGAGGTCAATGACTGCTATATGTCACAGCAGGCTAGCAATTATGCACAGCATGTCAGTAGGTCAGCTATAATGAAATTCATTCATAAGTTTAATGTGAATTTTGCACACATCTTACATCACAATGTTTCCAATATACCTCACTTCATCATGCCCAGAATTTTTCTATACATTTTAAGCATTTCCTCTTCATTTACTTCTTTCTCCAGGATACTTTCTATTGCCAATGGCAGTGTGCAGAGGGAAAATAAGATACAATTCTTACTAACCTGTGAATGACTATTGAATGACCTATGAAAGCAACCTATTGACACGTGTTCAATCTCTTTCTCTTGGTCTCCCTAATAGTGAGAGGTCTCAAGCAATTCCATGCACAATTTATTGTAACTTACAAACCAGGAACACTATTTGCATATAATGCTAATGATGAATGAATGAATCAACTGCTGAGAATCAAATTATAGCGATCAAGCAGAATTTATTAGCATGCTTGTTTCTGGAAAATTCAGAATCCTTGGAGGATTTCAAATAAATGACATTTAAGTGCTTAACAATGGATTTATAAAGGCCTGAAAAAAATTCTGGATACTACAACCAGGTAATTACAGTTAGTCACACAAGAAGCTGCACAATTCATGTTATGGAAAATAGCCTTGTTTTTCATTTTTCTTGCCTACTGGCTACTACTGCTGCTGCCATTATAGAAGTCCTATAACACTGATCATTGTTAGGTCAAAACAAAAAGAAAAATGTTTTCAGACTTTAAAAATATGGTATCCTAAAACCACTGAACCTTAATAAATATCTGAAAATGATTCACGCCTTGATCCTTGCTTTAGAATGTTTTAAAATATTCTACTGAAACTGTACCAGTTATACCCTGATCTGTTACACCTCAAAAGATGCCTTGCATCATTGGCAAAATTGTCTATACTAAGAATGGCTTTCTAAGATAACACTTTCCTGAGATTGGCAAGGATTAAACTTTGACTGGTACATGCAAAGGAGATGCTCTACTGATGAACAATAGCTATACTTCTGCTATTACTGAATATCTGCTTTCCATACCCCTAAAGGAGTATGTTTACACTCACTGTGCTAAATAACACAGCATGTATTTTCTAATTTTACATCTTTTTTAAAGTAAAAAAAGAACTTAAAAATAAGTTTAGCGGCATTATTTCCAACTAACAAATGTTGACAGGCCATGAGCCTTTGTGATAAGGAATACACCTTTGAAGCTTTCACTTGATCTAATTTTGATGCAGCTCACAAAAGCTTGTATTTTTACTCAATACACTTCCTATTAAACACTACATTCAAACAGGTGCATCCAATGTTCTATTCTAACTCCAGAATTTTGGGCAGATCTTTCACAAATTCTATGAACTCAATACTGGTTATGAAACATTCAATTGAAATGCATGTGTGTGCATAGCAACAGGAGGGATTGCATATGGCATTGTTTCTTTGCTGTCAGCATTGGGAAGGGACTGGAAAAGATCCAATTAGGAACATTACAGAGCATGGCAAGCAAAAGTAGGGACAGCAGCGTGACCATATATATATATACTGCTCACAAAAATAAAGGGAACGCAAATCCCTTCAGTTCCATGGTAAAATGTTCCCTTTATTTTTTTTGAGCAGTATATATTATAACTAAGCAACAACTAAGTGTCTTTTACAATCTTTTACAGTGCAAGGAAAATAATGTGGAAATCAAGACAAAAAAATCATCTCTTGTACAATTTTCATCTCATGGGGCCTTGGTAAATGTTACCCAGGTCTATTGTCTCAAGAAATGTGATTATAAACATCCATTTTGGATCAGCTAAAGGATTACAGAGCCATTTGATTCGTGCAAAACCTTTTAACATCTTCCAACACAAGCTACCTAATACCAATGATTTGGTATTAATCTTCTAGCTAAGCCTTTCCCCACGTCGTAAGGAAAAGCCAGGTTAGCCTTTTGCAGTTTGTGTAACCTTTTATGCCTTTCCTAGGAAACCAGGGCTGAATTCAGAGGAAAATAAGCGCACATCAAGCCCGTTTCACCGAAAGCTGGCGGGCGGGAGTCGCCATCCCCCTCCCCCCTTCCTGCCGAATGTTGTGACGTCAGAAACGATTCCTAAGGAGGCCGCGGAGACCCGAGGTTGTATAATCAGAAGTCGGTGCGCATGCGCATCGCCTTCGAGCGGGGTTGAGAACCGAGCAGCTCCATCCGTGGAGCCGCCGCCTCCGCCGCCGCCTCGTGCCCACTCACCTCCACCGGTTGATTCCCACGTTGGAGGAGCCCGCAAACCAGGGGTCCAAGATGTACACGCAGCGCACCGTATCGGCCCCCTCGATGACTTCCCTCAGCGCTGGGTTGTCGTGGAGCCGAAGCCCCTTGCGGAACCAGTGCACCGAGTTCACCCCCATCTCTGACAGACGGCCCGACTCGCCCAGGAGGTCGGCTCGCCAGGTGGAAGGAAGAACGTCGCCGGCTGCTCAGTAACGTGTGACGTTGGCTTCGCGGCTCATGTCGGGATAGATCCCGTTACTAAGGGCCCGTTCTCCGGTCAAACCGGGGGCGAGGCGAGAGGAACCGAGGGCGGAAGCCTCTGCTCGAGCGCGTCTCTTAAGACCCGGTGGAGGCAGCGGCTGCGGCGGTGGAAGCAGCGGCTTCGGTGGAGATGGCCGCCAGCGGGAAACACATCACCCCCTTTTTCCTCAGCCTCACACGCCCACTCACAGCTGGGGAGGGAGCCCCACAACGTTCCGTAAACGCGGCGGCAACGAGAGGGAGCGGCTCGGTCGCGAGGCTTCTTCCTCCTGGCTTTTTCCACAAGCGCTGCCTCGCCTCGCCGCAAACCCGAACGCCGCTCTCTCCTCGCCGCTCGCCCTGTGACTCTACGCAGCTCTGCTGAATGACGGGACAGCCGAGCCCCGCCCCCTTTTCCCCATTGGCCGCCGCCTCCACGTGATCGCCACCACCTCACGTTTCTCAAATGTGTTTTGTCTGGTGGGGGAGCGGCGGTGGGTCTCGCCGAGTTCCAACGTTGCCATGGCGTTATGCAAGACCTGGCCCGAAGGAGGAGGCGGGAGCGAAAGTGGGCGCACTTCTGAAAGAAGCGAAGTGCGTGCTCGCAAAGAAGCGAGGACAAAGAGCGCGGGGGGCGGCTGAGTGGCTCCTCTAATCACGCCCTCTGTCCCCAGAGAGGGGGGGGGAAGTGTGAACACGGGGCTTGCGTGGAGGTTTCTATGAAGCGAGTTGATTAGGGCATTCAGACGAATCCGGCAAGGATCCGTGCATAATACACACGAGGAACCAATGTATCTTCTTAAGTGCTCCCATCTACTGCGGGTCCGCTTTCTTTCCCCTCCCCCCCTTCTTTCTGGATAGGGGTGCGTGGATTCTGCGAATGCCCCCCTTGCAAGGTTGCGGTAGGCAACCGAAGCCCAAAAGAGAACGAGAATCAGAGTCTTCAAAGGTCTGCGAGCGTGTTAACATGTATCTTCGTGGTTATGGTTGCTCATTACATAATACCATTATGAAACGGTCCATTCCAAACGATTCTCTCTCCCCCCCCCTCCCTCTCCCCACCTCTCTCCGTGTGTGTGTATGTGTTTGCAGACGATCAGGTTAACTGCCCCGCACTTGGAGGCACATGATACCTTAAAGACGACTTGCACCTTTTAAAAGCAAATAATACAATAACAAAAGTCCATTTAAAGAATCAGACTTGGAAACTCCATGGACAGGGAGGGTTTTGTGTGCAAACATACATAGGGACAATACAATAAATGTCATATAGCAATGGACTTCGTCCTTATGGAGAAGCTAACAAATATCATTACCTAATATTGTGCACAAGGAGTCCATAATCTCAATCTAAATAATGAAGATACCAATATTAGATCTGAATTTGTAGTAACCCTGGGGGTTACAAAACACAAAAACATTTCCCTACCTGGGGTGGAAAAGTTTTTTGAGCCATGTAGGAGATTATTTTAAGTCAGATGCAGCCTATAATCCACCCCTAGTTTAAAGGATGTAAGACAGGTAATGTAGCATAATCAGCTTTGTTTTCCAGAATGCGTAAGAAGTTCAGGGGAAATGACTAGGAAGGAGGTACTGTAACATGAACTACAGCATCAGCTGCCTGTGGCAGTTGCCTCATACTCCCTAATGGTAGAGATTAATTTAGCTATGGAGGTATTTAGACTAAGAAAAAGGGAAGAGTAAAATGAAGCCACTTTAACATTTGTATGATTTAGCTCTTAATGTTTTGATAAAAATAGAGAATGTATATCAGGGATTCTTTACTGTTAGAATAAAATCAAGAAAGACATTTTAGAATTGACCACAATAATGCCATTTAAAATGGATGATAAATAACTCCCCTGTTAACTTTCCTTTTGAATGTTTTAGTTGAATAATGGTTTTGATGTTTGGAGAAAAAAACATAATAGTACTAGGAAGCTAATAAGGATAAATTTTAAATAAGCTTTAAAAAGATGAACAAGTCTTAGAACAGTAGATTTCAGATGGATTCCATATATATCATTCTTTGACTATCATAAACTCAGATTAATGTTTGAGCAAAGTATTTTTTCTGCACAGGGTTGAATTTTTACAATAGATTTGGCTTTATGGTGTATAATTTTCAATGTATAGTGTTATCCTGTGCACAGAAATTATATTTGAAAATTTAAATACAAAATAAAGACATTCATGTGGTTTTCTACAATGCACATTTATCCTTGGGGTGGAATGATACATTTTAATTAGTGAACATTTCACAAAAATACTTCTGTTTTTCAATTAAAAACTTATAGATTATTAAAATTAAGCTATATGCCCTGGACATTCCTACAATAGATTAACATCATTTCTTCTCTGCATTCTTCTGTTTCTTTTTTCTGAAGCCCCTTAAGAAGAACAGAGTATTTGGTTCAGCTGCGATAAATAATATTATTTGTGCATTTCATTTTTATATAGATATGGCAGCAATTTTCAGGTTGCAGCATGTATTGCTAACTGGATTTGTCCAATAGGCTATATTATAGGCTGCACACAACCCCGTATCCAACCTGGAGGCCAAATGATTCCAGGGTATACTGGTGTCTCTCTCTACTCTCACCCAATCTTCCATATGTGAGGACATAAGGCAACCTAAGGAAAGCTTCAAGGGCTTTCCTTCTGTTATACAAGATGAATGGCAGGTAAACCAGCAAGAATTGTGAGCCTCACCACATCTGGAACCGGAGAAAGCACGAGGGTTTCCAGCTGATGTTTTGCTTTATTTACATTGAGCATTTTCCCCGCATAAGGAAAAGGGAGGAAGAGTAACGCATCAGACTTCTCCCAGACTCATACTTAAACTAGAAGGCTGCCTGGCAGGGATTCAGGGATATAATTCTTAAATCAACTAGCTTTTATTTCAGGTAGTATAAAGGCCCTCTAATACAAAGAACACCAGGAACTGCAAATGGTTATGATTCAAGATAGATAAAACCTAAAGTTTGAAACTTATATTTGTCTCCTTCTCCCATCACATTCTCCCATAAGTAAGAGACCCTAGTTAGGTGGCATAAGGATTGGTTGACACTTTTCCATTTTTCTGCTAAAGACTAGTCTTAAGTTTCAAATCCTCTGTTTATTATTTTGCTCAATCTAATCTGCTCAGCAAAGTGGACATCATCTCTCTACAGGGCAGTGTTGGCTCTTGCTTTACCCTGCTTTTTCCATAGAGGTTGCCATCTCAAAGAAGGCTGAGATTTGAAGAATCTACAGCAATTATGGTAGGTGGTGGGTGAGGGGGGGGGAAATGTCTCTCAACCTCCTGTAGGTCAAAATACTGTAGCTGAGCAGAGCTACTTCATCTTTCTCACAGTTGATCCGTAGCCTACTATTTTTTAAATCTTTGTTTAAACAAACAATAACCAAATATTCTTCTCATCAGCTGGCAACCTTAACTGTATTTTTCTTTTGTGATCTTACTTTATATTTTAGCCTCATGATAACCTTATGAGGTAGCTCGCAATTGGAAAACAATCAGAATAAATATAAGATAGTCCTTATATTGTACCTGCAAAACAGTTATTATTTATTTATTAGATTTTTATCCCACCTGTAATACTTTATAAGTAACTCACGCCCTTTAAAGCACCGGATGAATTTAAAATCTCCCTGCCTCTTCACACCAGCTACTTGTACGGGAAGATCAAGAAGATGCTTCCTGACCTCTATGCCTTCACCGTCTGTTTATGGCTGAAATCTGGTGCATCCCCTGGAATTGGGACACCCTTCTCTTACGCTGTCCCAGGACAAACCAATGAAGTAGTATTGATCGAGTGGGGGAGCAACCCCATTGAACTCCTAATCAATGACAAGGTCACCCAGCTTCCCTCTTCATCAGGGATGGAAAGTGGCACCACATTTGCATCACCTGGACCACCAGGGACGGGATGTGGGAAGCTTTTGTGGATGGAGAGAAATTGGGTACCGGAGAAAATTTATAAGTAACTGAAGGCAGTGAACCCTCATAATACTCTTTCCTCCTCCTCTTTTTCCCACAACAGCTACTCTGTGAGATGGGTTGGGCTCAGAGTGTGTCACTGGCCCAAAGCCCAGACAGCTTTCATGCCTAAGGCGGGAGTACAATTCATAGTCTCCTGGTTTCTAGGTCAGCTCCTGAACTACTACACCAAGTATATTATAATGTATGTACAATATAACACGGTGGCAAGCAATCTAATATTCTTTTTGTTTGGTCTTTGTGACATAATTTACATTCTCTTTAAAAAAATATGCTCTTTTTCTCTGTGTTATGATGAAGAAACCCACAAAAATCTATGTTTTGCAAGTACTGTATTTGAACCCTTGGTCCAGGAGCTGCCATGCCCATAAAAAGCCACCTGGATTACTACATTGAAAACACATGATAGACTTACATTTAGCAAAAGTGGTGCTTAGTAGTATACTAATAGGCCAGAGGTCCCCAACCTTTTGGGCACCAGGGACTGATTCCATGGAGAAAGATTTTTCCACGGACCGGAGAGTGCGTGGTTTTGTGTGCTGCCTGCATCCCACAGATGACTTTTCAGAGTTATGGCCTTTGCAGCATCCCCATGATCATGTGATCAAAATTCAGATACTTGGCCACTGATTTATATTTATGACCATTGCAGTGTCCCAGGGTCATGTGATCACCTTTTGTGACCTTCTGACAGGTAAAGTCAATGAGGAAGCCAGATTCACTTAACCGGGTTAGTAACTTATCAGCTGCAATGATTCACTTAGCAACTGTAGCAAGAAAGGTCTTAAAGTGGGGCAAAACTCATTTAACAAATGTCTCACTTAACAACACAAATTTTGGACTCAATTGTGGTCATAGTGTAGAATCTTGTAGCAACTAAATTACATTTTATTTATGTTTTCTAAACAGCTAAATCATTCTGGAAAAAAATCCTTTCAGGTTGGTTTAAAATAAATAAATATTTGCAACAAAAATAATTATAATTGAATAAAGTTAGTTGTATATATATCTGCTTTGATTTGCAAGTCTCATCCCATATATACATCTCCTAAGAAGAACAAAACCATAGAGTTAGGAAGAGTTACATATTCTCCCTAAAGTTTAAAATTATTAAGCTATATCTTTGCTAGATGGAATAAGTGATGGCCTTGATCCTGCTCTTAAGTAAAGGTAGGCAATAACAGGAAGTACTTGATGTGGCAAACATCATTAGATTAGGCAAAGCCAGTCTGCCTTCATTTATTTTCCACAAAAATAAGCCTACACCCAGTAATTCCTGACTACTGCAAACAGTTTGTAGTGGTTTCTTTAAAAAAATTCTGTGTCATGCTTGGGAAAAAAATGAAAACAAACATTTCTGCACAT